ACTGAAAGAAGAGCAAAACACTGCTCTGGAGGCTTTTCTCAAAGGAAAAGATGTTTTTGCTCTTCTCCCGACTGGTTTCGACAAGAGTAGCCTGGCTTGTGGTTGTGTTTTCGTCGTCGCTCTGTTAGTACGTCATATGCTTCGTTGATCTGATTGGTTTATTTGGCCCGTCTATCACCAACATAGGCCAATCAGCTAACCAGTATTTTCGCCCCTTCCCAAAATTACTTCAACGGAAGGTTTCCAGATGGATATGCGGAGCAAATCCATCTGGCGGAGTCAGGTTAGGATTGGACCGGACCGGGCATTCGAACTGAGCCATCAGCTGCAGGGCTGGTCCGAATTCGACCCAGTGACAGTATGCCAGTATGCTGGGTCAGGTTCGGTCGCTCCATCCCCCGCTGGCTCCCTGCACCAGACCAGCCCGGGAGCACTATAGTCGACCAAAATCCCGGACGATTTTTCAGGTATGAAAAGTAGGACGTCTGGTCCCCCTACCATATCAACAATGTGAGGTTTCAGTGAGTGAGTGCTTGTTGATATGATGCGTCTTTGCTCAGCAGCTTTGCTCGTTGTAAACAAATCAATCAGATCACAACTCATCTAAATATTTATGATCAAACCATAAAAGGAAGAAAACCTGTCGTTTCATTCTAGGGCTTTTAACCAGGCTACATTAGGGCTCATAGAACAGCTAATATGCCATTTTCAGCCCAACCAATGTTACACACCCTATTAGAGACCTGAAGGACCAGAACCAGATACCCTGTAGCCTATACCCTATATATACCCTATATTCTATCACCCCTTCAATGAAACAGCATCACCCGGGACCCCTAAGGCACGTAAAAAGTCGCCTAATTCCATCATTTTCCACCAATGTGTTAGTGGCCCTCCCTAACAACTCACTTCTTTGTCAGTGAAGCTGAGTGCTCCACATCTCTGCCTTCATGGTGCCCATCTACATTAAGATCCACAATTCTGAGATTAAAGTCAGAATTCTGATTTTTTTTCTCATATTATACTGAAATAGAATTTAAAAATCAGTTAACATTGTTTTATTTATTTTTTCAATGGTCCTAATCCTCTTCCATAGAAGGAGGTGACAGCTTTAAATTGACAGTTTGTGTTTTCTCAATGTTTCACTTTTTGTTTCATACCAAATTTGTACATATTGTACACATACTGCGCTGGTTTGTTATCTAACGCTGAAAGTAATAGGGATTCTGTCCTGGTTATTTTGCCCTTTCTTCAGCTGGTCTTTAGTGGCCTCTAGTGGCCATGAAGAAAGATGCGGCCTAAGATTCTTGTTAAAATTATATTTTTCAGGTAATCAGCATTTTCAGAGTCAGAAACCTGACTGATTATTGGTACAAGCCTTTAATTTCCAGTTAAATTTCCTTATGTTAAGCTGGATTTGAAACGTGAAAGTTGAATATCGTGAAAGTAGAAATTATGACTTTGTATTTCATAATTATGACTTTCTATTTGGCAATTGTTTTTTTACTTTTATATGGCGAAAATGGGATTCCATAGATATTTCTACAGCCAGAGAAGCCGGGGACTTCACTACTGTCAAACTGGACTCACCTTTGAGAAAAAAAACTGACCAATCAGGGAGCTTTTATGAGTCGACTGGCCAATCACGACATAGCAAATCACGGAACTGAAACGGTTCACATCCCTAGTGCTAATCAGTGGGTAAATTAATGAAATGAAATTAATTATTTCGGCTAATTAACACATAAACGGGATAAAACGTTATTCATAGTTGTTTAAACTTAACGTTAAAAACATTAGAAAGTAGAAAAATTGATTAGGATCCCGTGTTTGGGAAAAAAAAACACAAAACAATTTAATTGGAATTTTAATCCCATCCAATTAAAAAACACCACCAATGATAGATTGAGGGGGTGTGAGCGGGAATTTATTTGGGTTAATGTTTCGGTACTTTTAAATAATAAATTTAAAAAAATGACAGGAAAATGAGCCAGACTGTGTAGCCTGGCTCATGTTTTCTTCCCCTCAGGAGGCTCTTCTTCCCAGCCTCCTTTGTTCATCCAGCCGGTGGGTTGAGTCAGACAGGGGCAGCTGAGCTGCAGCAAAAAAAAAAAAAAAAAAAAAAAAAACATCATGGGGGGACCATAGACACTATATAAGAGTAGACCCCGCATTGACTGCAGCGGCGCAGGAATTATGGCCGCCATCTTGGGGAGGTCGAACTGCTACTCTAACCAGCTGGTTTAACCAGAACAGAAGGATGCCTTTGTGTTACTTTGTGTAGTAATCAGAGCTTTGTAAGACATTACTGAATAAACAGCATGTATGTATACACACTATATATATATATATATATATATATATATATATATATATGTGTGTATATATATATATGTGTATATATACATACATATACACAGATGTGTGTGTGTGTATATGGAGAGAGGGAGATATGCACATATATATGTGTATACCTTTATAAATGTTTGTTTATATAGTAATAACAAAATATATAAAAATGTATGAGTGGCTGTGCTTTGCAACATACATACACCCTATTACTTTTAGGAAACAGAAATGTTTCATAGGGGGGGCCAGTTGGGCCACTAAAAATCTTGGGTTGGCTACTGAAACTAAAAGCCATAATTTCAGGTTTTGAATCTACCATTGTGGTAAACCTGCCAGTAGAAATCATAACAGCTTCAGTAAAGACCTCCTCAGACCTCTGATTATTGTGTGATTTTTAACATTAATCACTGGCTGAATGGGATGAAATGCTAAACTGATGCTAATACAATTTACACTGGGGAGTGGGGTGGCACTACTGCTCTTAACCCCACTGAGAATATTTAAAGTCGTAGGGAAGCAGCTGTTCTAGCCGTTGCATTTCCGAATTCTCCCCAGTGTTTCCCGACTTTACACGAGTGAATAAAGTGAATGTGATTGGTAGATTATCAAGGGGGCGGGATTGTTGTGGCGGAAGGTTGGCAAGCTAGTTTGGTTGTGGCTGGTTTGTTGGAATCATCTTGCTAACCAGTTAGCAACTTAGTGCTAGCAGGTTCCCAATGGGAAATTCCATTGGGACCAAGTAGCACTAAATTGGTGACTTAGAAACGACGCTGTCAAGGAACGCTATGGACAGAGGAAACATGCAAGAGGAGGAGAGTTTAGTGTCGGAGGTCGTGGATGAGTCTCCTCCGTCATCCATTTTTTATTTAGAGGAGGAAAGCGGGGACGAAGATGTTGTGGAAGAGGACGCCAGGGCGGCAGAAGCTTGGTTTGGTGTAGAAGGCTTCCAGCCGTACATGTTTGAGCCCTTGCCTCGCAACGCTGCCAGTTCTGTTAGCTCTACGCCTGCCGAAGACACAGACGTCCATCCCCGTGAACTAGTGATGTTATGAGATGAGCCGAGGCTTCGAGGCGGGTGTCGAGTAATGGAGGGGGCGTTTCCACGAAGCGCGTGTCGAGGCGTGATTCATTTAGAGGAGGGGCCAAAATTGATGACGTCCGAGGCCTCGTTACCGTGATACCACGTGACCGCTTCGGGAAGTGGTTCAGAATGCGCAAGAATTTTGAAAGGCATCTAAACAGCTTCAGTGTTCGGTGAAGATGTGGGAGTTTGGAGGAGAGCTGCTGTCAGCTGGATAAAGTTTGGATAGATTCTAATAATAGATTGGTTGGAAAAACAACCATCTAGTTGCTAATTTGGTTGGAATAAACAATGTAATTATCAAAATTTGACCAAGCCACCGGACAAAGCCCGCGTTAACACGTCAGTGTTAACAAGTATTTTCTCCTAGGAATGATCAGCTACATAGGTGGCGTCAGCTGTAAAAGTCACACTCCCACTTTAGAGGTTGGTGGTACAAGTCCTGTCTTTGACTTTTAAAAATTTTGATTACACTTAATTATTTTGGCTGATGAGACTAATTTGCATTTTTTTGCCCAAGTAAAAATATAGATTGGGTAAATTAGGTCGGTTTAGCCAAAAGATTGGTTGAACACAACTTCCAACCTGATTAAAACCAAAAATAGTGGAAAAACTATCATGTTTGAATAAAAATGACTAACACCTTTCATTTCACTCATCATTACCCAATTTGCACAAACACTGTCACTGTCTGCTTGAGTTTATTTCACTAAAATGGCAGAAGAACGGTGCACCTTAAATTATTGTTCTAAGAAATTTTACACTTAAAAAAACTTACAAAAGATTTTATTATACACACCAACCATTAATAATTTCAAGGGAACTTAAAAAGGGAAAAAAGAAAAACAGTTGCAAAAAAACAAAATCACAGATTTTATTACAAACTGTAGTTCTGCACTCCACCAGTAGGTGGTGACATGTTCACATGAAGCCTCATGAACTGTGGGGATCGTTGAAACAATTTGGCCAAACGGTTCAATGCCTCATGAGGCCTCATCTCACCATCACTACCGTGAACACTGGGACGCAACACAATGGGAAAGGAAATGATTCTGATTTCAACCGTTGCGTATATTAGCTGCGACACATGAATCAACATTTGATTGACAGATGACCGTTGATATATGATTGGTCGAATTTAGGTGTTCAGGCTGACGTAGAACTAACTGGCCTGCAGAAGATAATGGGGGAAAAAACCCCCCACAGATTTTAAGACAGGAATTTTTTTTTTAAACAGAAATTATCTAACTTTTGGGACAATATGGTCTGATAAAGAGCACATTTATATACATGTTTAAGCCATAATGATTTGACTTTTAAATATGACTTCCCTATGACTTCAAATGCACTGAAACATTTGTTTGTTTTCAGCAAAAAAAAAAAAGTAATATTAAGATCAATACTCGGCGAGTTAATAGTGGATTGAAATCGATTCTGACCCTGCATTACATTACAATGACTGGAGCTATCGACCGCCCCAAGATGGCGCCACCAAGTCCCGTCAGCGCCCATAGGTAAAGCTGTCGATGCGGGCTCTACTCTTATATTATGTCTACAGGGGGGCGAGGATTAAAGAAAATCGAGCAAAAAAGAAAGGAAGTTGTTAGAAGTTTCTCCAAACGGACCCCCTCCTTTAGCAACTAGCACCCCGGAATGAAGCGGCGGCTCGCGGCTGCTAACCCCACACCGCCTCCATCCTCTCCCCACATCCACGCAGACTCTCCCTCTCAGCTCCTTTAAGCTCAGCATCCATATTTGCATCCCAGGGAGTGGCCAACACTCCTCCTCCTCCTCCGCCGGTAAGGACCCAGAAGTTAGCGGCTAATCGCAGACCTTCTCGGACGCCGTATTTCCACCCAGGAAGGTGAGGCTCATCCTGCATGTTTGGCTCATTTCGGGCTTTTTTCCTCCTCATGTTGTTTTAGTGTCAGGCTGGAGGTGAAGGCGGAGAGGAGCCGCTGCAGGAGCCGCAGGAGCTACAACAATAGATCAAACTGCTAACGACGCTCCCTGAACAGACCATAGATCCAGGCCTTCTAGATTATTCAGCATTTATTAAACCTCAGAATAAACATTATCGATCAGATGCGTTCAATGGATCTAATCTAAAGCTTAAAAAGGAGACCCCCCCCCTTCCAGCGATTAAAGATGACTAAACAGGATCAATGAATAAAAACGCGTTGATTTCTTGTTTTTTCGTGATGCAGATGCTTTATTTCAGGTTCTAACCGCTCTATATCCTCCCATTTTGTAGAGCAATGCTCCACTTGGCACCAGCCTGCACTGGATTCAGGCACATTTAAAGGAAAAGTCCTTTTATGGATCAACCTTCTGAAAGAACCTTAAATCTGAAATGATTCCATCCTGTTCAATAAATGATCAGTGTTTTTAATTCACAGTAATTTTCATGTGAATGTGCTTTACTGGAGGCATCCATGTTTGTCAAAGAACACTACTGCCACCTACTGGTTAGTGACATTGTCACGGTGCGGTATCGGCTGTTGATCAAGTCCCAGTGCTGTCTGTATCTGGTGTTTGTCACAACGCGCTATTATCCAAGTCATCCTGAAAACATTCTTCTTCCAAATGTCGGCTACATATTACGGGTTTTTTCTCTGGCCAGAAGTTCGATGGCAAATCCTCCCTCTTCAAGTTGGCGATCCAACGACCAACCCGTCCGTGGAGGATCAGGAATCAGAAAGGTGGAATAACTCTTTGTTTCACTTTTCCCCGATGTATTCCAGCATCCAGCTGCCATGCACGTGGGCATTGTCAGTTTCACTATAGCTCTGGTGAATTTCAATGGTGAAGTCCTCTGGAAATCTTCAATAATTGTTGTTGATTGCAGATGTGTCTAGTAGTTCCCATTGATTTTGCTTGTAAAGCGGGGAGAATGGCGCTAGGCTTACCGCACCGTGACGTCACTGCTGGAAGATGGCAGGAGGGAGGGGCTACTATATTTGGGCAAAAATGGCCGCTCCCAGACTCTGGGATCACAATGAAAAACATTTTTGTTCTTTTACTGATTAAAACTAAATTCATTAAATCACTGCGAACGCATTAGTTTTATTCATAAATAATGATCCATTGATGATTCGTTGCTGACCGGACTTTTCCTTTAAAGTGTCTTTGAGGGGCTGCAGACTGAGCCAATACTTTTCAGTAGAATAGAAACTAGATGTGTAATATTTTGTATTTGATGGAGACCCAACATCTGGGAGAACTGTGGCAGTGTCATGATACGGAGGTATAAGTTTATAAAGAACTTAAACTGAGACAGGAAGAGGGAAACAAAACATGGGAGGAGGAAGGAGATGAGTTATAAATAAGAAAATCCAGTAAGGAATGAGAGAAAAAGACAAGCTTTGAAAACCAGGAATATAATAAATGACAGAAAACATTAGAAGAAGAAACACAATCAGGCATAAATGAGAAACACCAGATATATCACTAAAAACTAATAAGCAAAAAACTAACAAAGGATTTAAAACTAAGTAATGAACCAAATGCAGAACTACATTCACAAACAACAACAACAATAATCAGGAAACAAACTACTGAAAACCAGCATCTGAAATGCTTTATGTCGCTTTCACCATCTTTCACCATGTAAGACATCATGTTCAGGATGAAGAGCCGCTGCATGTTTGTCTTCTGCTGGACTCTTGAAGCGATGATGAAGATCCACTGAGCCGTGCATCTCTGCAGCTCCTCCAGAGGTAGTTTTAGGTATGAATAATGATCCATTGATTATTCCTTGCTGACCGGACTTTTCATTTAAAGGTCTGCTGAGAGTTTTTTTTTGCGTGACATTAAAAGAAGTATGAAGAAAATTTACAGATTTCTTTATTATTTTTTGAAAAATGACCTAAATATGTGTTTTAAAGCACATAAGGACTTGAGATGCAGATGTTAGAGAGTAAACTTTGATAAAATACCTTAAATCGGTCTCAATTTTTACAAATCACAATCAGCTTGATTTTGTGGTGGGCTGCTTCAAAACTCTTTGCAACAGTTTGAAGAGATGAACTTATGGCTGTTCTTCTTAGCTTTAATAACCGAGGGGGGGGGGTGTGGGGGGGTAGGGGGTTGACCATTAGGCAAAACTAGGCAGTGGCCCCAAGTTCCTGAGGGCCCCATAAACTCTGTTTAAATGTATGGTTAATCCAATTATTCCTTATTTGTGCACATTATGTTTTTGATAAAAATCCTTTTGCTAAAATGCCATCAGAGCGCTGATAATATTAAGCAAACTTTTACAGTTGCCTTTTGTATCTATGCTTCTTTTTCTACGTCTGCTTCTGTCTCCTTGAACCCCAGTCGGCCTCGGCAGATGGCCGCTCACACTGAGCCTGGTTCTGCTGGAGGTTTCTTCCTGTTCAAAGGGAGTTTTTCCTCTCCACTGTCGCTACAAGCATGCTTAGTGTGAGGGATTGCTGAAGAGTCAATGAGTCGATGCAATCAGCTGGTTTTCCTTAGATAGAAAACTTTGAATCAATCTGACTGGATGATCTGGTGAACTGGAAAGTTCACCCAGAATGCTTTGCTCTCGGCCCAAAGCATTCTGGGATATATCTGCCTCTTCTAAGGCCTTTCTTTTCTTCTTATTCACTTCGTAGACACTTTTTCTCTTCTGACCCTCGGCCATTTTCAAAGAACGTTGAGCTTCAATGACTGAATAGATATACACCTGAAAGTGCGCAGAAAAAGATAGCTAACGATGAGCGCGTAGGACGGCCTTACGTAAACATACCACCAGAATGATTGACAGTTAGGAGGACCACTGTAGTGGGAAAAAGTATTCAACTATTTGCTCCGGTTAAATAAACGTAGATCGATGGATTTCACTCAGTTGGCACTTTATTAGTACATCTTTGCAAAGAGAGAACAGTTCATCGTACCTTATTGCACGGTAATCAGCCCTGTTCTGCCTGGGCAGCGTTCGTTCCTCCTTACTTACAATCATGGAAAGTAGTCAGAGTCAAAACAAATTACAGACACTCTGATTAAACAGTAACATGTTATGAATAAACCTGGAGAAAGAATCTGGTTTGTTATGGGAAGAAGTTATGTCTGGTCTACAAACAGCAGGGGAATTGTGTGGCCTTGCAGGTAAAATAGACTGATTTAAAACTTTTATAGTGACTAAATAGGACAAATCAATATATGAAATAAATAAACAAAATTTTCAGACCATCATCACTTATTTAGATAATCCAGCCAGAAATAATAGATTGTCCTCTGTGCCTTTAAGCTATTTCTGCAATGTGGAGTAGGTATTGCTTTGCATGTTTCATACCTCTTAAAGACAGCAACATTCGTCATCATTATAACCTCACAGTTGAATGTTTTTCACTTCTATTGAGAGGCTGACACAAAGTAGTGTCTGAGACAGAAAGATGATGCAATGTTTTCAATTAGGGCTGCAAACTAATGATTTTTTGCAAATCGATTAATCTGTTGCTTATTTTTTCGGTTAATCGATTAATAATCTGATAGCATAAAGGAAGAAGTTTCATTAAGTTAAACCAGGTGAGACTAAAGCTTTTCCACTGGAGGAGTTCTGGATAGAGTTTTTTTAATCTAAAATGCTAAATGTTTAGATATTTTTTTACAATATATTAGGGATGCACGACATAATCGGCCCCCTATCGGTATCTGCCTTAAAACTGAATATCGGACATCGGCCACCCCACCGATATTTAACCCGATATTTGATCAGCTTCTGAGTTTCTAAAGTCTAAAAAAATAAAAATAAAAAATACTACTTCTTCTTCCTCAAAAACTTCTTTTTTACAGACTTAAAAACTTCTAAAGACGAGGGAAAAAATATTGATCCATTAAAATATCCCAATATCTTCATATGCTGATATATTGCCATTTAAAAACACCATATCAATCTCTTTTACTAATGAAATATTGCTATATGTCATCGTTATGCTATGAAATCCCCCGAAAATTCACCAAATGTTGCCATATTTTTATATGTTGATATATTGACGCGGTATCGATCTATTTTACTAACAAAATGTCACAAGAATTTGCAAAATATCACGAGAGTTTGTAACAGAACGATGAAATTTCACCAGATTTTGAAAGTAAAATAGATTAGAATAGAATTTCAATGACTACTTATTTTTGTCCAGCTTTAACATCGGTATCGATATCGGTTATCGGCTACATGAGTTTTAAAATATCGGCATATCGGATATCGGCCAAAATCCCAATATCGCGCATCCCTAAATATATTGGTATAATTGCTGCTCTAAGTGGGTCGCTCTGTCAGCTAAAGCCACATTTCAGACGATTTATCGATTACCAAATTAGTTGAGGATTATTTCCATAATGTTTTTGTTTCTGCTCAGTCAGTTAGAAAGCATCTGGGTTTAATATGTCTTGATCTAAGCCAGGCTTTCCTGCAGCGTTACCATGTCTTCCCCCTCCATGAATTGTAGCTTAACTTTTCTGTCACACATTGTGTTTTTTATGTATGCAAAAAAAACAACAACGACAAAATAAAACCCTAGAATTTTGTTCTCATCTGACCAGAACACCTCCTCCTTCCATGCACTGTTCCTGCTGTCTTGTCTGCTCCTTATGATTATTATTATCGTTCACTGAGGTTCTCAGCTGGATTTAGACCCTTTTGTTTGATTTCTGGAGATAATCGCTTGTGCTGATGTTTAATTTAAGGGTATCGGGGTAAAGGAGTGTGGAGGAAACCACACTACTCAGATTTATCCACGCGATGTACTGCTTAGATGTATAAATATCACGATATATTACCGTTTGTGGTTGTCAAATGTCGCAATATCTGAAATAAATTAAAGGGATTTGAGTCATTTATATTTTAAGGAACTTTATATTATCTGATAAGTTCATCAGACCCCACATAAAAAGCTCATTTCATGTAGAAACCTAGAAATAAACAGCTACCTGGAAATATTCAAAGGCTGTTTTCTGATAGAATTACAGAGAAAATCTTCACTTCAGATCCACCATGAAGAGAAAATACTTTTCAGGCAGTGGTGTGAAGGTCTGTATGGAGTTAAATTGCTCCCAAAATTCACAAATACACACATGTGATTCAAACATGAGCAGGAAAAGATCCAAACACACGCAGCATGATTGACGCAGCCTCAGTAGGCTGCTGTCACCGAGTTCATCCTAACCATAAAGTCATTCCTTTCTCCCCGCAGAATTTATTAAGCTATTTATGTGTAATCGGAAAATTATTTCAGTAGTTCTTCATGTGCTGTAAACTAAATAAATAAAAATACTGAGATAGAACTGAGATAAAAGCTCAGCTAGGAAGTCTACCTAAAGTGTCACTTCCTGTAATGTGTGGTTTTACCTGTAAAGGCATTCATTTACTTTTTCCACATGTTGCTCATATTAAACAAACTAAAAACAAATAAATCTCATAAATAAATAAATAAATATTTAATTCTCTGTAGAAATACTGATCATTCTTTAATAAGATCCTCATCTAACGGACATGCAATGTTTGTTTTTAAACCTAATGTGTATAACGCAACTAGTGAAGGATTTTTTTTTTTGTTTGTTGTTTTATGCACAAACTATGACAAAAACCTGAATAAATCGCGAAATCAAACAGCGTGCTTGGATGTAAGGAGAGCAGAGACGGAGGAAACTCTATTTAATGCGTATTCCTAAAGGTATGCTGGCCTGACGCCGTATGCTGAGCTGACAGAACAGGAGCGGAGCAAATAGTCTTCCCATGTGGAGTCCTTTCTTATGATTGGCTAATATAAGGGAGCTCTGTGATTGGTTGCAGACCTTCCCCTGTATAAAAAATGCATTTGTGTATCGAGGCACATCAAGAGAGCCCACACGATTCCCACACACAATTTAATTTATCATTGTTTATGGAGCAGACATACTTTGGTGAATCATGTGCTGTGTGTGAATGGTGCTGTGTGTGTGTGGATCTTGTACAGTCATGTATGAATCACATCCATGTATTTGTAAAAATTGAGACCGATTTAGCTCCATAGTCTGGATTAAATGAGGAGTACTGTACTGTACTGTGATGAGGAGGGGAGGGGGAGTCGCTGTGGGGTGCGGCGTGGGACCGGTGGGGGGAGCGGGTGGAGGGACTCGGGTGTTGGGCTGTCGCAATGATGATTGGGTGTAAATGTGGATTTTGGCCTGATGTGTTTGTGTAGGTATGTAAATATAGAAATATTTATGTATATATGCATATAATTGTGTATATATCTGTAGAATATTGAAAAAAAACTAGTTTAACAGGAAGGTTACTCTTCTTTAAGTTCATTTAAGTGCAATTAGAGGGAGGGGGGGTATGAATAATAAGTTTTTCTTTTTCATACCCCTTTTTAGGCAGTTACTATTAATGCAATAATTTCTCTGGCTGTTTATACCAACAGATTTATTTGGTGGAGGGTTTTGTTTCTATTTCTGTTCAGGTGAATTTAGTTAGTTTGGAAATTGGTGTTTGGTGTGGTTGGTTGATGTTAACTAGTCTCTTTCTGTTTATTTGGTGGATTCATTTATTGTTGTTTGTTAAATTGTCGGAAATAATTTCCTATTTATTCCTTCATCCATTCAAACTGCTCTCTGTTAGAATCTGTAACCTAAGAACTCGTTAACTTAGGGTTGTTTTTTGGTTTTGTTTTTTTCTGGGTGATCGTGTCTCAAGTAATGAACAAAGAATTGTCTAAAAAAAAATGTTTTTTTTTTTCAAATTCCACACAAATCCTGAGAGAAATTGTACAACCAGGCGACTGTAGAAACATTACAATCAGGATTTGTACTAAAAAGGAGAAAAACATTCTGCATTATGTGTAAATGTATTAATATTCCTAGAATTTGTGGAAGCAGCTGCATGTTTCATTCATCCTTCAGGATAATCCTCTTTCCAGGTTTGCAGATATGAATCCTCGGCGGGTTCACTGCCTTCCATCACCTGATATTTTGCTCTGTTGTTTCCGTATTCATAGCCGTCTTTTCCTTTCTGTCTCATCTCCTTAGATAAACATGGAGAACGACAGCCTCTGTTCTTTCATCTAGTCTCGGATCCTAAAGCCTTCATCAGGAAGAAGAAGAGCGCTGCAGATCCCAGCTGTGTCCTGCTGCTGTAGAATGAACATGCTCAAATCCAGTGGACTTAAAATACCCGGCCGTGGGGCCAAGCATTCCAGCCCGGTGGGAAGGACCTCGCTGGGTGGAACATCCAGCCCCGTCGCCCCTAAAGACAGTAAGTCGCTTCTTTCTGCCTCCATGAACATTTCTTCTCATCAACAGGAAGTGGCTTAGAGCATTTATTTGTTTTTCACTGAGTCACCCTAACACAGCTGTCAGTGGTCGCACACTCACAGACCTCACTGTGCATTTCCTGTCCAGAAATAATGAGAATAAACATCCTTATATGCCCTTTCTAATCGGGGTATATTTATATACCTCCGTTATTCCCTGTTCAGTTTAATTGAAAGTCATCAGTTGCATTCCCGTCTGACAGCTAAGGATTCTGGGTAAAATCGGTCCATGTACAGTTTAACTTTGTAGGTACCAGATCTGTTTGGGGGCCCCGCCCCTTCTTATATCGTCATTATATGGCAACACCATTTGGACAAACCCATTTCTTAAGAATCGGATCTCTTCTGGAGTCTCAACATATTACTGCTTGTATTTGCTATTATTTTAAATTTGGAGATCTAAAGTAACTGAAGGTAGAAAACAATCATTGTCAGTCTGGAAGAAAAGCACAGCGTTTTAGGACAGACTGAGCTCTGCCATTTAAAGGAAAAGTCCTGGAAAAAGAACTGGAAAGTGACCTGAGATGACATGATGTGAATTGGAGCTATAGAAATACACTGAATAGAATTGAATTGAAGTTCTTAGGTGGTGCAGTGACCAGGTGAGCTTTCCAGGGTGCGACTCACCTTTTGTTTGTTGGCTGTGAGGACAAACCTCAATGGAGGCTTAAAACAAACGTCTTTAAAAGCTAATTCTTACTCTCTGCTAACCTTTTCACATTTCATCATATTAATTGTTTGCTGTAGATTTTTATCAAATATCTAAGTTTGTCCCCCTAAACAATCAGTTTACTGCCTTTCTTTTCCACAGAATAGAGAACCACTACATGGCCTCCATTTGTTTTAGCTGCTTTTATCATAATTTATTTTCTTTACTTGTTTTATTTTCCTTCTATTAGACGTCATGGAGATGAATGAATTGTGCTGCTCCAAAATACCTAACTTGCCTTCAAGTTTATCATTTCAATAATAAAGAAAAAGTACTATTAAGTATTATTTAGATAAATACCATTACTTCTTAATGCAAGTATCTGACGTGATGGACCTGTCATTTAGTCCAGTGGGTTTGTCAGCAGCTAACCAATCAGCAATCAGAGTTTATCCTGAGGTGAATCATCTGTACCAGCAGTATCTCCAACTCTTTTTCTTATAACTGTTGTTGGATTGTAATTATGGAGGCGTTGTTCTTATAGGGATGACAAAATAATTTAGAGGAAATATTTATTTTTTTACTTAAAGCCTAAAGGGAATCTGCTAAAGATGAGTAAAGGCCGGCGGCCGACCTCATGAGAAGCTGAACACCACAGTGATCTCTGGAAATAATCACATGTTAGTCTGCAGGGAAATATTTTTTTATAATCACATTGCATGCTTGTGTACCATATTTAGTGCAAATAGTCACACAGAGCCTGATTATCTACAGAATAAAAACAAACTACATTTTAAAAGCTCATCTATGTGCTATAGTCAGTAATTACCCAACATGACTTGCACCCTTCATCATTCCTCCTCTGGCTGGAGAAGACGTGTGCTTTCTGTGGCTTAAAATAACTTTACTGACATGATGTACGACTTGTTAGAATGTATTTTTTGGCTTATTTAGGCTTTTTTTGTTGCTTTTCTTTGCTGTAACATTGGCGGATAAAGCAAAATGCCTCACCCAACACCTGAGTTAGTGCCGTGAGCTGGAAAGTCAGCCCGAAAAGGGCAAAAAAATCATATAGTGTACGCCCGACTTTAAACATCCCATAGTCACAATCACTGACTCTTGACCAAAGAAATATGATTCCCCCTCCCCCTCCGGAAACACAAACAGCTAAAAGATTGGCCCAGTTTTACTCATGGGATTAATAAACGTCTTTTTCTTTAGCATAAGTTGTTAAAAAATGACCAACATTGTCCAATGCGTATCCTTATACAGGTATATCGTACCTCCATAAATAGTTAAGGCTTGTGTTTGATTTAATTTAAACCCTTTTTAAGCAGACTTCTCCTTAGTACCTTCTAGCTAAAGATTTTGATCCTCATGCTTTTAAACTTCTCATTGTTCTGATCACCTGCTGCATCACTTATTTTCTGGGTAAAAAGCTTGAATTCAGAGATCTTAGTCCTCAGAAAAGAAGTCAGGATCTGAACCGATATAAACCAGCGCTGTAGTGGAGGAAAGGGGTTCTCCCAGAGACCTTTCCAAGGGGTAGAAAAGCTGCTAATTTGACCCAAGAAACTTAATCCATCAGCAAAGGGGAGAAGATGTTGAGACCAGACGGTTTAGTTAGACAGTAGGGGTCTGAGAAGTAATCGTTTTGGCGATATATCGACATCACAAAATTGGACAAAATTGTGTTTATTTTTTTTATATCTAGGCTTGTTCCAAGATTTTAATTGCTTTGCTGAAGGATGGTTGAAAGCAATGTCTCAATTGTATTCATTTATTTTCATTGATTGTTTTAGACTTTTGTTAGGTTCAAGTTATTTCTGTGACCATTGAGGGGCTTTTCTTTCATCCAACGTGTGAGGCTACTACTTCTCCTTATGCCAGTTACAGACAAGACAATCCATGTTGCAACCTTTTTTTTAGGTCGTTTAGTTCTTCAGACATAGAGATACTCATGTTGGCTCTGAGACTCGACATCTGGTCCAATGCTGGCTGGCTGGACAAGTTGTGCTGCAGCTGTGGATGCTGAGATTGGCCTTGTGAACATCTGGGTTGCTACAACAGGAGTTAAGGGCTGTGTATCCTCCCGCAGCACTGTGTCGCAGTGAGCTTGTCGCGGGTATGATGCAAATATTTTTGATTTATGCCCAATTATAAAGCGTAGTCTGCGCTATCCACGCCACAACGCAAGAGGAACAATTGTGAACGGTCTACAACCAGTCATCCAACGCTGGACGACACACAGTTCACCCGTGAGTGTTCCTCAAAGACTGGCCGTGCCGTGTTTTGGCTTTGGGTGCAAATCAACAGACCGTCGCAGAGAGCTACAAACTAGTAGGGCTGGGTATTGCTAGGAACCTCACGATTCAATTCAATTTCGATTATTGCTGTTGCAATTCGATCCGATCCGATGCAATTCGATTCAATGTTGATTTTTGAAGCCGTGTGACTCCAGGAGTTTTAAGAGCAGTCTGGAATGCCAAGTTGTGCACATGGCCAAAGCAGCCAACATATAATAGCTCAGTGATATCGACAGCAACTAGCATGTTGGCAGCATTATCTGTAACAACAGCGGCTACTTCTCCGGTTATGCCCCATTCTTTTATTGCCTCCATCGACATGTTCGCTATGCCTCCATCGACATGTTCGCTATGCCTCCATTGATATGTTCGCTATGCCTCCATCATGTTCGCTATGCCTTTATCGACATGTTTGCTATGCCTCCATCGACATGTTCGCTATGCCTCCATCGACATGTTCGCAATGCCTCCATCGACATGTTCGCAATGCCTCCATCGACATGTTCGCAATGCCTCCATCGACATGTTCGCTATGCCTCCATCGACATGTTCGCTATGCCTCCATCGACATGTTCGCTATGCCTCCAACGACATGTTCGCAAAGCCTCCATCGACATGTTCGCTATGCCTCCATCGACATCTTCGCTATGCCACCATCGACATGTTCGCTATGCCTCCATCGACATGTTCGCTATGCCTCCATCGACATGTCCGCAATGCCTCCATCGGCATGTCCGCTATGCCTCCATCGACATGTCCGCTATGCCTCCATCGACATGTCCGCTATGCCTCCATCGACATGTTCGCTATGCCACCATCGACATGTTCGCTATGCCTCCATCGACATGTTCGCTATGCCACCATCGACATGTTCGCTATGCCTCCATCGACATGTTCGCTATGCCTCCGTCGACATGTTGGCTATGCCTCCGTCGAAATGTTGGCTATGCCTCCGTCGAAATGTTCGCTATGCCTCCATCGAAATGTTCGCTATGCCTCCATCGACATGTTCGCTATGCCTCCATTGATATGTCGCTATGCCTCCATCATGTTCGCTATGCCTTTATCGACATGTTTGCTATGCCTCCATCGACATGTTCGCTATGCCTCCATCGACATGTTCGCAATGCCTCCATCGACATGTTCGCAATGCCTCCATCGACATGTTCGCAATGCCTCCATCGACATGTTCGCTATGCCTCCATCGACATGTTCGCTATGCCTCCATCGACATGTTCGCTATGCCTCCAACGACATGTTCGCAAAGCCTCCATCGACATGTTCGCTATGCCTCCATCGACATCTTCGCTATGCCACCATCGACATGTTGGCTATGCCTCCGTCGAAATGTTGGCTATGCCTCCGTCGAAATGTTCGCTATGCCTCCATCGAAATGTTCGCTATGCCTCCATCGAAATGTTCGCTATGCCTCCATCGACATGTTCGCTATACCTCCATCGACATATTCGCTATGCCTCCATCGACATGCTCCATCGACATGTTCGCTATGCCTCCATCGACATGTTCGCTATGCCTCCATCGACATGTTCGCTATGCCTCCATCGACATGTTCGCTATGCCTCCATCGACATGTTCGCTATGCCTCCATCGACATGTTCGCTATGCCTCCATCGACATGTTCGCTATGCCTCCATCGACATGTTCGCTATGCCTCCATCGACATGTTCGCAATGCCTCCATCGACATGTTCGCTATGCCTCTATCGACATGATGCAATGCCTCCATCGACATGTTCGCTATGCCTCCATCGACATGTTCGCTATGCCTCCATCGACATGTTCCCTATGCCTCCAACGACATCTTCGCTATGCCTCCATCAACATGTTCGCTATGCCTCTATCAATATGCTCCCTGTGTGACTTCCGTGAGGCAGCACATTTGAAACTAATTCCCACTCATTTGATATGAAATGAAAAGTGACGGTTATGTAGGGGTCACTCGCTCTCAAAGTCCAGCCATCGCATGT